AACACAAGAGTAACACTATTGCTGAGTTGCAAGGATTCACTTTGGTGTAGTCAACATAAAATCAAAGAAGACTACACGCGGAAAGGGGCATAAAGGTATTGTTACTTTCATCAGATCTAAAATTCTATTTGTCATTCATTTAGAAGCTCAAGATATCAAAGGTCAATATTATTAGTTACGTCTTGTGCTTGAAGGATCTCATTGCTATCTCGCAATTGATCATTTTGCACCATTATTCATGCATATCTACTCCATGCGTTTTTGCAACTAAAGTCAACAATTTCATCCACTTATTAGAGATGTACTTAAATATATGAGCAAAGAAAATGTCTTTCTAGTTGGAGATTTCAATGCTCACATACATTCTATCTAATTTATTCAATGCAATAGCTCTTTGATCTCTTATGCTTTGGAAGAAATTAATGATAGTTAATGATATAGTTTCTCTTTTGATCCTTCTATAAACTCTTTGACAAAACATTTTTTGATTTTTGGACCCAATTTTAACTTTAAAATCCATAATGAAATACATCTTTTTTCCAACTCACAATCAAATACATGTTTTTCTCTTACGGTGATAGCACGATTAATTTTTTTCTACTCTACTCAGTTAGTAGTTTTCTTATCTCTACTTTCAAAAATTTTAATTCTCAACTTGAGTCCGATCATGCAACTTTCTTGTAAATTGTATCAATATCAAAAACAATTTTTTCCTTAATCAACCAACCTGTTCTATCTTTTCCCAGTTTATGCTTACTACATTGTAAAAAATATCTTTATGCTACACATTTACAAGATCTCTTGAAACACACTGAGTGGAGCCAAGACCCACATACACCCAATTTGCAATTCATAAAACTACTCAAAAACTCTACGTCTTAGTTTTTTCTACTGCATAGCAACAGAATAACTAGAGAATTGCCTTATAATGGGTGGTTTGACTTTGATTGCAAGCTAGAAAACACTAGAGTTGTTAATAGATCTTTGGATCTTCAAAGTTGATTTCTTTAGACAAGTACATATAAACAACGGATGAAGTCTAAGAAATATTATTTCTTAAGACAAAACCATGAATCTCTCTTTAAAAAGCTGATGCAAGATCCTAAATCTTTTTGGAGAAAATTAGTTGTAACATTTGCAAAACCCTCTTTGGATCCCGGATCCTTGTTAGTTTTTGCCAAAAAGCTTTACTTCTTTTCGAAAGCTAACTCTTTTCCAAAATGCAAAGCAATACGTGGTTTGTTTTCTAAAGAGTAGGTGAAGACTATACTCAGAAGATTAGCAAATGGCAAAAATGAAGATTTGGATGTTCTTTCCGTTCAACTTCTTAAGTGAGGAGAAGATTGTATTGTATCATTCCTCTCCAAAGTTTTAGAAGATGCATCCGTCTATGATATTCCTTGAACTTGGTCAATCAATTGGAAGATTGTTCATATCCACAAATCAGGTGTGTAAGATGTGGTGACAAACTATCGAATTATCATGATGGAAAGTGTTTTTGCAAAGTTGATTGAGAAGTTGTTGAAATCAAAGTTAAATACATGAATAGAGTGTTTTCATAAGAGATCAATAGTCTAAGTCAGTTTGTGCCCAACATACAACGATGTTGACCATATTCTAGTTCTACGTGTATTATGGAAAAAAACTAAGAGCAACGATAAAGCTGTCTTTTGCCTTCATAGATTTGAAGAAAGCTTTTGACATTTTGTTCCGCAAACTTTCATGAAAAAGGTTACAAGACATATGAGTATTGCCTAATCTTTTGGGAGTAGTGGCCACATTATACAACTCACTTTGGGCCAAGATCAATGCTTCTCAACCAACTTTTTAGTACTATTGGAATCATTCAAGGTTGCACTCACTCTCCAACTTTATTTGGATTTTTTATAGATTATATATGTCGGAACACGATAGCATTGGAAGCATTCAACTAGCAAATTTTCTGGAAGAAAAACTTACTAACAGAGACTCAAGTGTTCGTTCCGGGGATCCTGTGAAGTAGATGAAGTAGACGTAGTTTCCAGATGTGGTGTTTATGGACAACAAACCGAAAGTACAACAAATCAAAAGTACAACAAAAATGACCTGAGGTTGAAACCTCACGAATGATATTCCGAAAACCTAAGCTATACGTGCAGTTCAGATGCTATTAGCTTTTCGAATACCAAGGTCAACAGATGTAACGAGTGATAAAATAGAAGTTTTACCTCTATATCAGAGGCTGCCGTTTGTCTTGTGGAAGGATGGCATCTACACTCCCAGCGATTAAAGTGCCGGAAGAGGCACTATGAAAAAAAAAACTAAAAAAAAAAACTAAAACCAGAGGTGTGGTTACCTTCTCACAACTGTTCCGGACTGTTAGCTCCGAATCAGCAGGTCACGCAGAAGATCCCCACGAACTCCAACTAAGCACTACAACGACATCCAGATCTAGATTCAAAGGGGAGATTGAACAATATAGGATAAGTGAGAACCCCGTGCCATCTTCTAAACTACCCCGTCTAGGTACTGTGGGACCTCATCAGAAGGTCGAATTGACGTATATCCGGAGTTCCCCTACCCGGAGCACCCCACCGGATATTACCCAGTCCTAGCAGCGGCTATCCCACACAGACGTTATATAGGTAAACACGACAATGAGGAGACTCTCCCACTACACACTAGAACATATTCATCGCCGCTCTTTCTCTAATATAGAATACGGGATTTCCTTCCACCAACTTACGGATGCGGCCTTGCAGCACTCACAGAACCGGCAAGACCTCGAGCCTGACGTTGTATGCAGAAAACAGATTAACTGCTTCAACAGAACCAGGTTGCATAGGAGGTGAAAGAAGAGTCCCAAACAAAATCCCCAAGAGGGTTTAAATACTACAACTCTAAACCTAACTGCGACGGCTTGACTGTCTTCGAAACCCTAGCCGCCACCAAAAAAAACCTGAGATATCACTTGCCGAGAACTTAGCAGGTGATGACTACGTGTTCATCGCTTTCAACTTCCAGCAGTCTGTCGTACAAAACCCCATTCAAGCCTTCTAGGATACCTAGATCTAAACTTAGAATGTTTGGATCTAATCTACCTGATCCATTCTTCTGGTTCAGAAAAAACAGAAGACCAGGTCCGTATCCAGCTAAATTTCCACTACTGTTATTACAATTTTATCAAAGCTACTTCTGACATAGTTTTCTAGTTTACTTACACTCTTCTTTTTCCGTCAACTTCCCCTAATAAAGAGGTACTGTAAACTAAAAAGCATTGCAGAATCTAGTTAATTTTGTGTGAGGAGCAGTCTTAGCTTCTCACAATATAGAAAGGTGGTCAGACAAAAGTGACAGTGAAGGTTTCAAGCTTGGAGACTTTTCGATCAAAGCTCTAATGTATATAGATGATATCGTCTCTTTAACGCTTAATACTATTAATGTATAAAAACACCTTGACACATTAGTAAACTTTGTATCGAGAATAAGATTGAGGTCAACTTGAAGAAATAAAAAATCATCATAGTCGGCTCTAGATCTGATTTCTTTTTCTGTTATAAAGAATTAGAGTTAGAACAAGTGAAGGGTTAGAAACACTTAGGCAATGATTTTTCTCACTATTATAGTTAGACACATTGTGTGCAAAAGAGAATAGATTGTGGTTACAAAGCTTTCTATTCACTTTCAAATAGATTTAGAATAGCTCATCTTTTATCCGGAGACCTTGAGAAGTTTTTATTTAAGACTCTAGTGTTGCCAGTGATTTTATATGGGATCCAAGTATGGAGTCATGGTTGTAAGAAGACAAGATGGGAGCGTTTGAAGAAGATTTTGAAGATATTCTTCAAGAAGAACTCGGAGTGAGAAACCAAACCCCCTATGTCATCCTCATGGCGTAAACAAGTTTTTTTCATATTGAGGCTGAAGCTCTCTAATTGACCATCAATTACATTACACGGGTAAAATCTCTTAGTACTTCTCGACTTCCTCATCAAGCTTTACAAGACACACGCTTCAAAGTATGGTTTTCAGATGTGGTGGCTTGGTCCTCAAAATGGAATGTGGAGGAACAACTTTGGAACATGCAACAATTGACACTTCGCCAACATTTATAGGAAAGAAATCTCAACGTTCTTTGGACCAGATCGTGCATCAAAATGGAGTTCTACATACTTCACGTAAACCCTATGTTTGTTTACTGTCAACAAGTATATCTTCTTGCTGGGATTTTTACTTTCTTACATCATATTATTGCATTACATAGAAGGAGATCTCATAATTTACAGATTGGGTAAAGAAGATGACATCACATTGACATAAGTGAACAATTCTACATTGTATGTGAGAGCGATAATATAGAGTCCAAAGAGCATGTGTTTCTTACTTGTACTAAATATATTGATATTAGAACGACTCATAACATTGTTGTAAAGAATTTTTATTCCTTACTGCAGTTTGAGCCTTACCATTAAGATTGCTACTTTACAGATGTTATAAGTAGTATCTCTGCTGCTCTTGCCGCTATAGAGGGGAGAACCCCCTCTATAACGATAGGATGATTTATTTTGTATTTTTTAGCCTTTCGAACCTTCGGTCCCCGGTTTGATTAATTACCATTAACATAATCGAGTTCAGTACATCACAAATAGTTTAAGAGGTAAATTTGTTGAAAGTAAATTAGGTTCCATCACAGGTATGAATAATTATATATTCTGCAGACATATCTTATAATTTACTCTGATATCCATTTGTTTGAGTTCAGCACACGCGTTGTATATGCAGGTTGACGATATTCTCTTACTCTTTATCCCGGTCGAAATCTCGACACATAGGAGAGTTTGGAGGCCTCAGCGTACAATGCGAACCACGGGGGATACTGTACGTAGAAAGGTGATGGAATAAGCCTCGTGGTGGAGGACGGAGAGAGAGAGAGAGTGGAGAGAAAACAAGGCAATAACGGGCAGAAAAGCGCGAGGCATGTGATCGAGGCCAGGTACCGCGTTCGATCGGCGTCGAGGAATATGATGCATGAACATGTAAGCAATGGCATAATGGGTTGGGCCTGGGCGCGAGGAATTTCATAAAAGGTTGCTAAAAATAACCCGGAAGTACTTCTGGATAAACTGGGAGCTATAATTGCCAGAAAAGTTAAACGGGATGATGGGAGAACGATTTGGAGGCAATTATTTGCGCAACGAGCCCACGCATCGAAAAGTGGGAGTGCGAGGGACGGGACATTCAGTAGAGAGCCTGTTACTCGATTGCAGCAGACATCGAACCTGGTACGGCTACACGACGCAAACGCGTCGAGGAGGGCAAAAGGGACGGGAAGAAGAGCAAGAAGAAGTTGCGAAGGCGAAGGCGAAGTCGAACGCGAACGCGAAGTCCGGGTCGATGTCCGGGTGGCGATGATGGGCGGTCGCGGGTGGGTCGGTCGGTCCGCGCGCCAGAGTTCAAAAGCGAGAAGGCGGTGGTGCGGGGCGATGGAATACGGGGCAAACTGCCCGTCGACGTGGCGGGCCAGCGGACGTGGCGAGGCATCGATGGCGCACACCTGCGGGACGAGGTGGGATTTGAAGTTGACGGCGGGGCCCATGCCAGCCTGACTGGACTGGACCTTCATGGGACTGTAGCCCTGGCTGCACTACCCCGCGTTCTCCTATCGCGAGACTCCCGTTCGCAAGGTTCTCGTACCGAGCCCCCTCCCTCAGAGCAGCTCTCATCTCTCCGCGGGCCGCCCAGCCCTTCCTCGTCCTGCCCTCCCTCCAGACAGAGCGCGAGCGAGAGACAGAGGCCCGAGTCGTCCGAGTCGAGAGACTGCTGGTGCCCGCTTGCATCTGTTTCCTTGTGCTCGAAGGAGAAGGCAAGAGGAGGAAGAAGGCGAAGGCGAACAGCGAAGGGAAGGGAAGGGAAGGGGAGAAAGACAAAGAGAGCAAAGAGAGGGGGAGAGTCGAGGAGAGGAGAGATCAGAGCTGCTCCCGCTCGTACCATTGCCTGTGTCGTCGACGAGGCCATACCATTTCCGAGCGAGAAAAGCGAGGGAGGGAGGGAGAGTGAGGTAGGAGGGACGAGAGGAGGAATGTTGGAGATGCGCGAGGAGGGTGCTTGGCGTGCCGATCATGCGCGTAGGTAGGGGTCGTCGGGTCCCGTGGTTCTTCTTTGAGGAAGTGTAGATGCTACACCAGGTGGACAGGCAGGCACGCACGCAGGGCTGGCTGAGAGCGTGAGTGATGCTGCTGCTGCACGGGGGTTCATCTATCTGACGCTCATCTGCGTCGTCGGCGCATGGAAGCGTGAGTGCCTGGGATGGATGGGCCACTTCTTTTCGTGAATGCTGTGATAATGCGTTTGTGATTAATGGCCCTTGTCTTAGTTTAGAGGCCGTGAGGACGAGGACGAGGACGAGGAGGATTTCGTACCCACATGCTCGAGGAGGGAAGATTGTTGCGCGTCCGGGACGACGGGACGGGAAGAAGTGAGGAGACGTAGCGAAGACGTAGACGACTGAGAGTACGCAGACGAAGGGTGGTAAAGGGCAGGTTTTGTCGAGGGCGGGAAATGCAGGTTCGATTAGCGAGGATTGCGAAAGAGGTAGGACGATTTGGGTCCAGGGCCGGACTGAATGAGGAGTACAATGCGAGGTGAAGGTTAACATTGGTGAAAGCAACGGTGGCCAGTGGCAGGATTAGGAAAGCCGATGTGCTTTATAGTGCTTTCAAGCTAGTTCTGAGTTGCGTCCAAGAAGGGCTTCACAGGTTGCTGCCGGAGGGGCTGTTGTGATGGACGTATTAAAGTGGCGCGTTCTGCATGAGGAGGTCTCCAGAGTGCAAGGATTTGGGTGTCGATCCTTGGCTGTCCCCGTTGGAGAATGGCGTTACTTTGGCACTCGTCCTCGGAGTTTTTAAACAATCTTAGCGATTCTTTTGGACAATGCGGTGTAGTAGTGGTGACAGTCGCGACGATTAGTTAGTGAAAAGACGTTCTGTGGTAAAATTCTTGTGCGGAAGTTGACATCCATGAGCACTTGTTGCTAGCAGTAACGTGGTCTAATGCACCAGCGGCTTACAATCAGCCCTCTGATCTGGCATATAACAGTTAACAGGCATGACGAAGCGTGCCTACAAACTACGTATCCTTCCGTGATGTCCGTACTTCGTAATTTAATGTGCACGGTTTCACATCTTTTGCAACAGTCGACTTGGAATCTTTGACCTCCCCTCCTACGTCTTAGTTTCTTTTGCACGGCCGTCGAGGGCTCTTGTTGGAGCATCAGTTGTATATCTCTTTGCATCAAAATTAAATTCTAGCTCCGAATCAGATGCTAGTCAGCATTTTAGCCCGATTGGAGTAGTTGTCCGCATCTTCAGTTCCTCACAATTGGTGTCATTCTTTATTTTTTTAAAAATTCTGTTGGAAACTTTTTTCGGTCCTATTTTTTGAGAAACTGTTACGTAATCTTTGCCAGTTCATTCTCTGTTTGCATCCTTGACATTTTTTGCTCCAGAGGAGTTTGTGGCACACTCTTCCAATGTCAATTGTCTTACCATTGGAAAGAAGTCCTCAAGGGTGCTGGTCACCGGTGGCGAGGATCAAAAAGTGAATATGTGGGCCATCGGTAAACCGAACGCGATTCTGGTAGAGAGTCGAATTCCCTCTCATGCATATGCGTCTTCTGTTTTAAAAATCATAAAGTTATTTACTTGCTCTCATTCAAGAGAGTATAGTACTCAAATTTAATCAAGTCCGTTGGGGATAAATTGCTCGTTATTCGAGTTTCGACATAAGAGTACGTTTTCGCCTTGTGTGGAGGATTCCTTCGTCAATGCAACCCTCATTAGGGTTGTTCTGGCTTTTCTACGCTTAGCTTAAGTGGTGTCCTGGTGGACACTTCTTGCGATAATATTGTGTACTAGAAATATTTTGACGCACTGCATTTTAACACGCTGCATTTAGCTTCAAGCCGATGGCGAAATTCTTTCTTGTGCTGCTTGTTTCCGTCCGAACATAAGCAATGTGTTTACCGCATAGGGTTTTTTAACTCAGTCAGCTGATCGTTTGAAGACTTGCCAATTGGAACCTGGTCACGTGTCAGGTCGACAGTCTCTCGTTGTAAACCCAATACGGCATTTTCTCATCTTTTTCAAACATGCCAGCCAGCCCAAATTTGTCCTTACATTAATAATATCTCATGACAGTAATACTCCTTTTTCAGACCTCTTTTAAGCTCTTCCTTCATATCTTAATCGCTGGCGTTACGTTATACTGAATTTTTGATTGTGCAGAGCTTGTCTGGGCACACAAGTGCAGTGGAATCTGTGACTTTCGATGCTGCAGAAGTTCTTGTTGTTGCCGGTGCCGCAAGTGGTACCATCAAGCTCTGGGACCTCGAAGAGGCTAAAAGTAATCTTTCCTGGTTTGCTACTTGATTCCGAAAAAACTGTCGGATATTTAACTCTTGAGTTTTTGAGATCTACTTGATTCTGTATGGAGAAAGAGAACGTGATCTGTAACAGCTATATCCAGTAGACTAGAGCAATATATTTTGCAGTCATACTTTCAAATCAATACTACCGTACGGTGTTGACTTGTCGTTTGTCTGGACTGGTTGCAGTTGTACGCACACTTACCGGGCACAGATCTAATTGTATATCAGTGAGCTTTCATCCATTTGGAGAGTTCTTCGCCTCAGGGTCCCTTGACACCAATCTCAAAATATGGGACATAAGACGTAAAGGATGTATACACACATACAAAGGTCATAGTCGTGGCATTAATACCATCAAGTTCAGTCCTGACGGGCGCTGGGTGGTCTCTGGCGGAGAGGATAACGTGGTGAAAGTAAGTCCGCACCTTTATCGCAGAAATTTCATGTGAGCTATAGAATTAAGTGGAAGAATCGAACTCGCGGTGGAGACATCTGTCGCAAACTGAGATTGGATTCACTGACGTCGTGTATATCGTTGACTGGACCTAAGTAATTTATGTTTGTCGTATTTCAGCTGTGGGATCTCACTGCGGGAAAGCTCATGCACGACTTTAAGTTCCACGATGGAGAGATACAAAGTTTAGATTTTCATCCACAGGAATTTCTTCTAGCCTCAGGTGATTCTTTAATCTCATGCTTGTGACAATTTTATCTGCCTCTGCATCACCAAGTCATCTATAGTATCCTCATGTCTATATGTCTTTAGGATATTGATCTAGATGAAACACATGCCACAGTTGGCTTCGTTTGACTGGGCGGAAAACCTCACAACAAGCATTGGTGTATATGGATATACGCTGTGCATTATTTTTGACATGCACAGCGTTCTTTGATTCCCTTCAATGTCAGTTTTTGTCACAAATACCCGGTGTGACTAGGGTAGAAAATTTTGTTTCGTCGAAACATGTTATACATCGTTATAGGTTTAAAGGTTTAACGTCTTTACCCAGAATATGTCTAAACAGTAAATGTTGATGTGTATTAGGTTCACCTTCTTTCAGTTTTTTGTTTGTTTTTTTGGTTTTCCCACGATATCTGCAATGGCGGTAACACAAGTCTGAGTCAGTAGATGGTTCGTCGAAATTTAGACATTGTTAATTTTATCAATGTACATTGTGGTCGAGGGCAATGTATTCCTTGGAGTCATTAGGACTTTGCCTGTGGATACGCATGTATCGGCTCCTGCTGTATCGAGTCTTTGGTTCACCATTAGCCTTACAAATGACAATGAAGTTTGCCGAGAGTTTTTATCACATTGACCTTTTTTGACTTGACGTCTCTTCCTGGGTGTCCACAGGTTCTGCGGATAGAACTGTTAAATTTTGGGATCTCGAAACTTTCGAGCTCATTGGTTCTACTCCACCTGAGGTAGAATTGCAGTGCTTTATGGAGTATTTCCTGAGGATGTGTCGTCTAGGCTTCAGTTTAGTTGTGGGCTTATATTTGAAATCAAAACATGTTATATATTAAAAATTACGTTCTCTGTCTCTAGTCCTTCGTTCATATGCCTCCTTTGACACAGGCAACTGGAGTGAGATCGATGATTTTCAATCCCGACGGAAGAACCCTACTTTGTGGAATGCATGAGAGTCTGAAGGTGCGTATCAAGCACTTTATGTTTGCATCTATATGTTCTCTTTGCGCGTTACGGGTCCTGACCGCTAGTGTAAATGGTTTTCTGTCGCACTCGGCATCCAGTTTGTGAGGAGCTCCTTTGGTTCTAGATGTTTGAGCTTCATGTTCTGTGAAGGATTAAAGTCATTTGCTTCTACCTGGAAAAATGCTTTCATTTAATACGGAAGGATCAACATCCTTCGATTTTCGCTTCCAGGTGATGTCGTGGGAACCTCTGAGATGCCACGATGTGATTGACGTTGGGTGGTCCAAGCTGGCCGACTTGAGTGTTCACGAAGGGAAACTTCTCGGTGCATCCTTCCAACAGAGTTGTGTCGGTGTCTGGGTCGTTGACCTGGCTGTAAGTTGCCCCTTCCTTCTTTGAGGCTCTTTGTACACTCTAACTGTAATCTGCATCTTTAGAGGCACGGATAACATAACATTGTTGAAGGAATCTGTCTTTTTTGCTTATCTTGGATCTGGTCAAAACCGACCCTTAGCAAACTAGGATTGGAACCTTATCTGAAGAACACCCTGACTCCGACGTTGTATCTGCCTTTGCCACCTGTTGACCTTGAATGATCCTAATTCCCGACATGAACGTTTGATATGCCTCCCCAGCGTGTCCCTCCTTTTCAAACGGGTCACGCACCTCGAACGGGTGGTAATAACGTTGGCAGCAGAGGTAGTGCGAATGGATATCAATCTAGCCAGCATTCGAGTGTTGGAAACACTAGAATCAACGGAATCAAGTCCGCGCTACCAGATATGTTGGAATCCGCCATATCCACTATGAAAGAAGTGACGTTGGCCACCTCAAAGGGTGAGTACATCCCTTTACACATATCCATCCTCCATCTATTGAAGAATTCGGTCCGCGCCTATGAGTATTACTGCGGATATCATCTAGGAAGATATTCTTATTGCTTGACACAGTCATCAAAATCTTCAAGGAAACTTGACAATGTGATCTAACTATTCACATTTACAATTGTGCTTAGACGGAAGCAGGTACTTGAATGGAGTAGGAGAGTGATGATCCTTGATGAGGTTGTCGTTCTGCATTCGAAAGTCTGTTTTAAGTCTTCTTGGCAGGAAAGTGAGTTGTGCAGGCCAGTCAGGAAGCTCATAAGTAGCGTTTAATTCGTGAACAATAATAGGAGAATCGGCGTATGAAAGGAGTTCGACATATCTAAACTTGTCTTGTCCAATTTGATTGCAGCTGCAGACAGTGTGTTGAGCGCAACTTCTCGAACCGGTACTCCATTGTCAAGTAGAAGCAGTTCGCTCCCTGCTTCCTCGCAGACACCGACAGTGAATACCCCTCGAAGAAGTAACAGCACAAGGGTACACCCTGGAGTTGTGCGTTCGGTAAGTAGGTCAGAGGCGCGAGATACTCCGAGTGCGAGGTCAGCTCCAGACGTTGAGCCGCACCCTCAGGTGCCTGTAACGCGGTCTGAAGACATCCCGTCCTCCAGATCTTCAGGTAGTTTGGCCTCGTTAGCGGGAAAACCTGATCAGCGGAACTTAGAAGGCTTGAGAGGAGATGCTGGTGCTGATGCTATGAGGATAGATTCGGCGAGGGCTGATACAAGCTCTCATCTAGATGTCAGCACAACTTCTACAAAAGGAGTTGTCAATGGCGACAGGGGTGGTCATGATGGAAACCCTCTAGCAGCGACAGCGAGAGCAACAGATGATGGAGATGATCCTCCTCCTCCACCGTGGCATGATGGGAGAAGACTCAAGCGGAGTTCGTCGTTTGGACCCCATAGAATCGAGATTCTGCACAAGGGCCTACCTCCTTCTCAAACTCTTGGAGGTCAGTCTCTCAGCTACTTCTGCTTAAAAACTGCGGCACTGTAGACAACCAAAGCAAGCTGGTATTACTGCGCCCATTCATGAAACTTGAAATCGGACGTTAGCCTAGTAAGAAGTAGGTCTCCTCTTCTCGAGGGATTCATTCATTAGTTCATTAGCCGGATCAGGACCGTTGCATGAACGAACCAAGTTACAATGTGGTAATCTACAGTGTCAGCTCATGCTAGAGTAGCTCGAAACATCCTCTCTAGAGCAGCCATGTGGAAGACTTTCGATGGTGGATGTTAATTAAAACTCAATGTCAGATCTATGAGCCTTAATAAAAGCATATATCTTCGCGGGTTCAGACCTAGGAGATTCTATGTATCAGCTCTCTCGGAGTCAAAGTGTCCAAGATTTTTGGTGGCTCACTACTTCCGAATAGTTCTTAACACCTGAACTGCTGATCAGGTGATGTTGGCGTGCCGCAAGTTAGTAGGCCCGCTAATTCCATGGAGGCCTCCACCACAGGTATACAATCTCACGAGATCATCTGTGCCGCCTTTAGATATACCTGAAAGAACTCTGGTCGAATCGAAGCCAAGACTTAGCGTGACGATTGTAGGATGAAATCGGGGTGCTGAACTCGGTTCGGTCTGTTATGAATATAGGTGCCTTCTGCTTCTGCCGAAGGTGAGGGGAAGTGCATAACATTGTAATTCAAGGGAAGAGAAGCTTTTCGAGGGATTATGTGGTTGTACCTGTGGTGGCGTAGAAAGTAAGCTGATTATTTATGTGGTGTTGAGTTTTCATCTTGGTGTTCCTTCTTTGAAGGTCGTCATGAGGTGCCGAAAGCAAGAGGACTGATTGCACATTGGGAACGGAAGGAACGGCCTGAGATGCTACCGATGCCCTCCCACGGTAGTAACGGTGGAGTGAAACCTCTGGGATTGGATATCAATGCTTACATTCCGGTAATATATTAGCTGATACTGTTCTCTGCTTTCCTCACTTCCGCGTTGCGTTCTACAAGAGCTGTTTCTCCTTAAAATTTGTATTTGTCCATCTTGTTACCATGGCTTACACTGTGGTTCCCGAGGTTACTTCTATGTGAGACAGATTTACCTTTCGCGGTTTGGTTGCTCACGTCTCCGCGTTTTGTTTCGGGTAGTAAGCTGCAATGGCTTAATTCCACGAGATGGTCATACTTTGTTTGCAACTGTAAGTGCAGAGAGGCCATATGAGTTCGGAGATTAGTGGATCATCACAATTTCCAGACGAAGACCTGATTGATAAGTTGATGCAGCAACATCACACTATGGCAAGCATCATGCAGTCCCGTCTGACAAACATGCAGGTATGCACTACTGTACTGAATAAAGTATTGGCAATGCCGTCTTGTTCAAGTATTTGCTGCATTTAAAGTTTTCGTTGTTTTTTTCAATCTTGTCATATTTATCCATTTCTTTCAATATTTGTAATGGGAAGAATCGTGTTTCAAAATCATCGCTGCAACTCCTTTGCCAGCTGCTTACGACGTCAGCATTACGCCTGATTGTTTTCGTTATCAGGTGATACGAAGATTTTGGGTGAAAAACGACGTCAAGGGTGCTATGGAGGCGATGGCAAAACTCAATGACCACTCTGTAAGTATAGTGAAATGGGCTGAATGGAGCTCCTAAATTCGTCGACTGTAGAGTCGTTGTAAAGTTAGAGTTTGTCAATACAATTGAAAGCGTATTGTGTGTATTGCTCTACATCAAAACATAACCACTGATCACCAAACATCCATTGATTGCAGGTGTTGGTCGATGTGCTAAGTGTAGTGATGGAAAGAAGTAACGTTCTATCTTTGGAGGTGTCTGGATTGCTTCTGCCGCCCTTGACTGATTTGCTCTTGAGTAATAATGAAAGGTGAGCAGGATTTTATAGCAAGGGCCTTCTTGTCTCATATGAAGCGCCGGTTTATATGCATCTTTCGCCTGAGTGTTGTCCCATCTTTTTCGTGTTCAATTTGCATCTGGAACGTCGAGTTGAACTATACCTGCTTCTTGTTGTGTTCAAAAGTTTTCATGCTGCATAAAGCTCAGTGCAGATACTGGGAGTTTATACAAAGGCTGCATGTTGTCGATGTACTTATGATCCGAGTGGAAGGTTGTGAACTTCGCTCGAGTTCAAATTAGACGCAAGTCGTTGATCTAGCAGCCCGTGCTACAACTGACTGGAGGTTTAGGCCTGCCATTTCGGAAAGTTGGACATAATGAACGTTTTTCGCTTACTCTGACCCTTGCAGGCATATTTTAACTGCTATCGCATTAATATCGAAGCTCGTGAAAACATTCGGTCAGATTATTCATTCCACAATATCTGTAGCTCCTGGCTCGTTGGGTGTTGACCTGCAAGCGGAGCAGAGGTACAAAAATCTGGATGACCTTTTGAATCTTCCTAGTGGCTGATTCTCACCTTTTAGTGCTAGCTAGCGTTCTATAATGTTCTGGATAATAGTGACCATGCATTTTACTTACACGTTACTACGTTTTCTAAGGGTTGATAAAACAACTACTTTCCAGCTTTACTTCATTCCAGGACGGACACTAGTTGTTTTATTGATTTATTGTCAACAACTCAAACTACTACTAGCCCGTGGTCTTTAAGCTCTCGTATCTTTACATCGCAGGTACGAGCGTTGCAAGGTTTGTCACCGTGAGCTGCAACAAATTAACCGCAGCTTGACATCTTTAATGAGGTGAGGTCATCGTTGTGTGGAATTTGTTGAATGTCGAGGAGTTGAGCTTGAGAGCCCAAGGTGGAAGATGTTGTTCCATTTATTCCGTATTTGTTTACTCGCTCATTAGTTCACAGCTCATAGGTGGTGGTGAACGTTGATGTTTCAGGAAAGGTGGGGAGATAGCAAATGCCGCTCAGGAGCTGAGCAAGGCTATTAAGGAAATCTGATTGACTTTTAGGTAGGTCCTACTAATTGCGCAGCAATGTCTAGTAGTTTCAGCACTCTTGGTTCGAAGTGGAACTTTGAAGCGGTCAATAGCTCAAGATTCTACGCCTGTGTTATCAATAATACAAATCAGGGCTGCAAAGTCAGCTAGTGCAATGGTGCTGCCTGAAGAGCTTTTAGATAACATGTGTTGTCTGTTTGCCATAATTCTGCGCTAGATTGACCATTTTGACATTCTGCTCTCCTTGACGAAAGTTTTGACAGTTTTTTTTCCTCCAGAACCATTGGTTGAGTTGTTCTCAACGTACTTGAGCACTCATAAATTTCGTTTAAGTTGTTGGAGCTTTCCATGTCTTCACTGGTTTTGGCAGCAAGAAGAGTTTGTAGGAGAAAATGCTTTTGAGTTAAGGACTCAAAGATTACGAAGTCCGCAAGATAAAACATGGAAGGCCACCATTGGGCCTGTCTGTGTCTTCGATTGTCTCAAGTTTTCCCAATTTTACCGCGAACTACCAGTAGAATTGTCATGACACCAAGGTATGAAATCGGATTCTCCTCGCTAGTACACTAGCCATTCAATGTAATATACACATTCAAGAATTGAGAGAAAAATTTATTTTCCACTATGTTACACTACCCTAGGTAGTGGCAAGAAATTGCCTGGCTAAATGTACATTGTGATCGTGGAAGGGCATAGCTTGTGTCTAGAGCCCACGATCCTGGAAGATGAATCAGAATGTAACCGCATGGCATGACGGGGAGTCATGTGGACTATTCACTCAGAAATTCGACCTGGCAAATATGTGCTGGGTATTAAATGAATCACAATTAATCGGATTATATGGTTGAAACGATTGTAACACTGTCTGAGTACTCAGTAGATGAGTTCCGGTAGGGTGATCTAGATGAAGTGTCACACAGAATGCATGGATACTCTGGCTTAGGTACATGATGTTCATGGTGGAATCGACCTCAACGAAAAGTGATTGAGGATTCACTCATAGAAGGGACACAACTTTAATTAAAGTGAAGTTCATAGCATTTCGATTTTTTACGATATTCCTAGACACATACGGTCCCATCGGTCCGCCACATAGAGTAGTTAAATATGTGGGTATAGACTTGAGGACAAACAACACGGGGTTTGGTTTTCGTTCATTCAGGAGTTTTTTTTGACCTCAATTTTTCCCAATTCAAGGTTTTGTCGACTTACTCATTTTTCTTTCCACGGGGTAAGAATTTGATGGATGTAATGAATGAACACAAAACCACCCAAATGAAAACCTCTCTCATATCCACATCATACTATTCAGTTGATCTAGAACTTGTACATATAGGTCTGTCTTACGTCTACAATATGTACATTCAAGGACTGATCTATAATATATACACTAGACTGATCTAGAATAAATCATATGTAACTTCAAAAAGATGATATACACTGTAAAACTTCACGTTCTAGAGGCAGCTTATACTTAAAATACAGATACATTGATACCACCGTGATAGTACAAAGCTCGAGTCCATGACACTGCTATGTCGAGTCAGAGACGAAAAGCATGGAAATCAAAATGTCTTTGAACACTTGAAGTGATTGGATTCCTGCGGCCCATTACATGGTTATGTAAATGACGCCATCTGTACGTCTGAATGCAGCTTCCCCTGCTTTCTTCTCCGCCAATTCTAAGGAACTATGTTATACAAGTCATGTGATCGGTTTTTTAGGGGTAATGACACGAATAAGCAATGTCTATGTGATTGTTCTCATAGCAAAGTTAGAGCTATATTAACACGATTTGGCATTAAGATTGTCCTCGCCCTGTCTCCCTGCTTCTCCACTGCCCTGTTTGGTCGATGAATCCACCACCGACCACTTCCTCCCTGACATCTGCTCATTCCTGGGAAAAAACCTAAATTACATTCTACGCCTTTCGATCATCGTCTCCAGCTGGCTTCTTTCCAAACCAACCAGCAACGATAGGCGTAAGAGCCACGGTTGGAGGGAACCGAATTGGGGAGGCGGCCTTGTGTGCTGCATAAGCAAGAGCGAATGTTCCCACTTTCTCGCCCGTCTCATTCGTATGAATCCCAACCTGCCAACCACGATTGAACCGAGAATTAATTCCAGGCCAATGCAGATAGCAACTCAAGAACAAAAATGCCTCCCAGTTTGCCTCAGCATCGACGTTTTCCAAAAATCCGTTCGTGAAAATCATAAGCACTCTGATAGTAGATTCATGTCCGGACAGTGACATGAAAACCCTTCAACCTCAGCATACGATATCGACTTCTCACCGATGATACAGTCGGACGAATGATGGATTAAACCTCGGGAGAGATTTTACGAGAGAGAATTTCCTCATCAGATTGTTTCTGTCACAGCCTCGAGCCCATAGACAAGGGTTGAAACGATGAAACTATGCGCTCATTGTAAAAAGGATGAGAAAGGAGTAAGCATGTACCTTCTCTAACAAGCTGGGCACATCGACACCGGAGTTGACCAGAACGTAGCAGAGAGAGAAAGACACCAAAGAGAGGGATATGGAGGTCGCCAGGTAAGCCCCCCCGTATCGAGTAAGCAGCTCTTTAGCCTGATTTTTCTTTTTCTCTTTACCTTCCTCGCCCTCCTCCTTGGACGTGAAAATCTAGCATTTGCACACAATTCGTGAGATCAGAGTGTACGATTTAGAATCTCAATGCCAATTGACATGAACCCGGCGAAATTCGTGAAACAATGGACCCAGATCGTCCGCTCATCCGTCCCTAGCTAGACCTGCTCTTGCCTACTGAGGGAAATTGAGTCGTGTCTGTAAGCCACACACCTGCCATAGCCCAGCTTCCAGGCCCCACTTTCGAGTTGTGTTCTCTACATCCGGAACCTTCTTCTCCTTCTCCTTTTCCTTCTCTTCCTTCTCCTGCGTGTTCACAGCTCTTACCACTAATCTGCTCCCGGTCCTCACTCTCCCGTTCCTACAGAAATCCAACCTCGGTGCGCTCCGCCCAGAAATGGTGGCGACGGAAGAATTCAATTTCCTACTTTGCACGCACGAGGTACACGACACAGCAACAGCAGCAGCAGACGCAGCAGCGTGAACCACCGCCACCTGAGCCATAGATTCGCTGCTCTCACCAAGCTGATGTACCCTGCACGAGATACGCGACGGAATTCGAGTCTAGACTTGCAGAAGTTCTTCAGCAGGTTCGAGGTCGAGAGCTCACTGGCACCTTCGTCTTCGACCGTGCTCTGCTCTGCAAGCTTCTGAGCTCCAACGAGGCGTCGATGGTGTGTAGGAATGGTGAGAGGAAGTGGCAGTGGCAGTGGCCACTGATGACTGTCGTGGACTGCGAGTTATCTTGAGCGGGTCCGTCTGTCGCTGGACGGTATCCGAATCAACAGGAGTCGCAATTCAGTTGCTCGAGGCAGCACGAGGCCGTCGTCGTGGATTATCGTGAAGTCTCCACATTAGCGCCGTTTTTAGCCGCACACATTGAGGATAACAGAGCCTCATGAGAATGAGGTTTCGCATCCCCAACTATTGTGCACTCCTTCACCTTCGCTTTCATACTCGTTCCTCTAGCATTGATAGAATGCGCGAGTGAATATCATTCCCTCCAATGAACATCATTCTCTGTCGGTACATCATGTTTCTTTGTGTCGCTAATTATTCTTGAATCTATTTTTCTACAGTATAAAGTGTTCACCTAATTAAGTAGCAAAGTTAGAGAAAATTATTGCACTTCCTTCACACCTATTTTAGTTCATGGGTTTACAATGGTGTATAAATAATATCAATTAGTGCAAGACATAACATAATAATGAGAATAGATGATGTAACGTTTATGCTATTTGTTATAGATTAGTTACAAACTGTTTGTATAAATTAGTTTCTGTATGATGTATGTTAATTTGAACTATCCATTAGATTTATTATTAAAATGTTTTGAACTGATTTGCAATACTCATCATGGTCAACAATGATTTTCATTCCACTCTTACTAATGTGGTTTAACTTGAATATCATTCATCAAAGGTGAAGTATTGTTTAATTAATTATTATATATTCACTTCAAATGTCAAAATCACAATTATAGAAACAATTGAAAGCAACATAGCATGACCATAATCAAAGTGGTATGTTATTTCTGTCTTTGCAGATTTATGTGAAAGATTTTTTGAGATTGCATATCATTTCATGAATTTTGGACAATAATTCAATAATTGAAATGAAATTCTAAAAAATGTTTTTTAAAAATCACATGTTTCTTAGCATCACAAAATAATTAAAAAAAAATGATTGATTTTAAGATATATTCAATAAAAAACTTATGACATTTAGAGATTATGAGTATAAGTTAGTAACTCAAAATTCACACAATCTGCACCCACAAAATAGATTAGATTACAAACAAATTGAATAATTTACCTTTCAATCGTGGAAACACAAATTCTTTACACATTAATTCTAAAATTATTGTACAAAGAAATATTATTACCTCTTATGTAAAATGACAAACAAACCAGAGTAATATTTACTTAGATAACACTAAACTCAGTTAACAAGACTAAAAATCAACTACTAATAATCTACCTCTTGATTTGTGTCTTCAGATCTTTAACCTTTGTAAATGATATAATTATTTTTTGGGAAAAAATTAAATAATCTATTTTTGTAAATTAGAGCCAACTATAATCAAGCTTAAGGCCAAACTCAAGAATTTATTTCACAACTATCCAATGCAACTTGTTCTTCAATTTGACATATATGTGTTCATCTTTATCATACTTAGAGCATTATGAAACATAACGCGTATATAACACTATGCATTAAGATACAAGCTCATTAGATGATGAAATACAATATTGAAGATTAAAGATTTCTATACTTGTTTTATCTCCCCTATATAGATATTATCAAGATTAAAATCCCATCAACCATTTCACTCATAGTGGATTGTATGATGAAATGAGATCATATGTTACTATAACAAACACATTGTTCTTCACTACTGCTATCAATCTTGATCTAACAAGCACATGGATTGTCGATATCAATTATCACATTTATTTTCCATTTATGAAACACATGGATTGTTATCTTGGCGGTTATAAAGAATACATTATTATGCAATTATATCTCAGCATTGAGTAACTTTATTTAAGTTCTAACCAACAAAAGATATTTATAACATATCATTAAATACATGAAAATTTGCACAATTTCATACAAAACTTATCAATTCTTTACTCTCTTAATCTCATTAATTGAACATTGCTTTGTAAAAATCTTGAATTAATCTTCCAAAGGTGGTCAAAATTCTATGTATTTGCGTAGATCATATATAATAGTTGAAAATATATGTATTATCTTGAATTCTTCAAATTTTGCATTCATTTTTTTTAACTTGCTTAAATACATATGATGTTTTAATAATCTATAAGAAAAAAATTTGAAATTTATTTGATAGAAATTTAATATTTTATGTAAATAATATTTATAAGAAGTAATTAATATATAATAAGTATATACATATGATTATAGAAAATTGAAAACTATAACAATTGGAGATATTGGGTTGAAATTCAAAGTGAAGATCTAAAGCTCTGACCTAAATCAAACGAGAGAGCAATTGATTTTTTGAGTCTATGAAATCATTTTGTCTGAAGCCCGACAATGGTGAAGTTAGATGAAAATATGTTTCAAGCGTGTATCATGGACTCTAGCTTTGCATGAAAATTCATGGCCTGATTTGTGGAGCTTATTCTTTTTTTATTGTTAGATGTGTTTGCTTTGCTTCAATTAGATTCCTTCGAGTAGAGATATAAGACTACATGCATCGTACTCGTTAATAACGATGTGAATTTTTTGTGCTATCGAGAGAAGTGGGAGATTCTATGGCTTCTAATTACGTCTAGACCAATGATGTGCAATTTGGTTTGAAAGTGTGCTCTCGGGAACCTAATGACAAAAGATAAATATTTTACAATGCGGATTTTGCATTGTCTTTGGCTGCGAGGAGAATGTGGATGCGCAACACAAGCATTTAAACTATGTACATGGATGATGTTGCCCTTTTGTATTATGACAATATCAAAAATCGCATCAGCGATCATCATACTTCAAATTGTATTGTGTACGATCGCGTCGATTCGGCTGATCATTGAAATGACTTCTTCAACGATGTGACAATCATGTTCAAAGTTTCTATTAAGTTGCAATTCTCGTCTTCATCTCTTGATGATAAGCATAAAATTGTGTTGGACATCGAGAAGTATATTGTCGACGTGATTGTTGATGTCATGATGTTTGATCTGGATGATATTGTTGACAGTGATTTGGATAGTGATGTGGAGAAGCTTGCATTAGACAGTGAGGCTTAGTGCAATGATGTATTTTTTTGTCCAACTCAAAAGAAAGCATTAGCAAAAGAGTGAGCGTTATCATTATTTCAACGTGTAGAGCAGCAAAAAAATTGACAAGGACTACGTCAATTATGCTTACTTGGTCATTATATGAAGTAAAAGACCAATGTGTTTCAGTTGGCACTACAATACATGACATTTTGTGCTTCATTTTGATTTGTACTCAAGATATTGAGCCCCACTTACGATATTCTGCACAATATTCTCTTGCGGATCTTGCAATGACATCGCCAACTTCAACACAGTTGTGTGTGCTATCAACCTACAACACATGATTTGCCATTGCGTCATGCATGAGAGTTTTATATTGCTATGTACTGAGAAATTCATAAAAGTGCATTAAATCTCAATTTTCGCTTTTGAACTACAATCCATAATATTATTATTTTGCATGCATCATTGCCATTAATGTTCCATCGGCATATTTGTGATGTCATGTTTCAGATGATTGTATCTATTTTGCAGATTTTTTGTCATGATTGAAAATTTTGTCTACTCGATTTGACTTCTGATGGAGCCCGTAACATGATTGGCCGCGATGTTGATGTTGTTAGTTGCCTTAGTAATGCAATGCACAACGAATGTACTCTGGTTTGAGTTTGGTTTGGGATGCATTAATTAGATCTCATTATGGAGCACGTTGTAAATTCTCCTATGCAATGCAATGCACAACAAGTGTACTTTGGTTTGAGTTTGATGTGGGGTGCATCAATTAGATTTCATTATGGCGCACATCATAGACAATCTCATGAAGCAATGTTTCTTTGTTGTCATAAACCAGATTCATTTTTCCCTTAGAATAACAACTCAATCTAATTGCGGAAATGTCAACAACGTGTACTTGAAATCTCAATCGTTTGATTTTTTCTATAGAAACTATGATTAAATGATTCAAGATTCATCCGCATCAATTGTTTGCGCATATCGAATCTAAAAATCCAGCTTCGGCTCCACCTCACCTATGATGGATGACTGCGCTTGCTATGCATCACTTTCCCTGGAAAACAATAATTACTTTCCGCTTGATTGAAGGATTGACGACACTATTGAATCAAGAGCGATGAGACCATCTAAGTCAACTTGCCTTGGATGAACTTTTTGTCTCTTTCATTGATGATGTTGGAGTTATTTGACTCTTTAATCCTAACGAGATTGTGAATTTTAACACATCGAGTCACATCATAAACGGCTGCTATGATGTTCCATTTTATTTCATATGAGAGGTAGTCAGTGGCATGGATCTTGTGTTGACTCTATCGTTGAAGTTTATGTATCACCTTATAAAGAAAATGATTGCAGAATTTTGACTAAGGCAGTCCGATTTGATTAGTCTGAGTGCTTTAAGATGTTGGTTAGGCATAGCATGACATGTGGCAAGACCGGCCGCGTGATAATGTTAAAATGAGAAAAAATGTTAACCTAGTCACATAGCTTGATGAAATAACGGTTTGATTGTAGTGGTGTGGCAACACGCCATCCATGCTAGCCCACATGAGGAGAACGTCTATACATGTGGCGGATTGAGATAGTGATTTTTTTTTTTGAAAATAACATTTAGAAATAGGCTTTTTTGCAAGTCTTTCTAGGTTGTAATAATATATAAATACCAAAATGAAGCATGATGGTAAAGATTCGATTCCACAAGAACAAAATTAACATCAAAAATTTAATTACTATCACGAATTAACATTCTATAGGCTTTCGTCAAACGTGGTTAGGGCGGCCTGGAGTAAAAGGATTCGAACCTTTGTTTCTCGGCATCAAAGGCCGATGCCTTACCACTTGGCTATACTCCAAAAAGTCCATAAATCAACCTTACACAAAAATGAAATCACTTCACGTAGCGCCATCGGTGCATTAGAAAAGGGTTTACTTCTCATACACATGTCACTCCTAGAAGCATATGCAACTGATAAGGCCAAAGGCGACACAAATGCAGGGTGAAATCACATCCAAATCCTGAAATTCATCCAATAGACTCCATAGAAATTGCA